CTGTCTGAATAAAAGTTTGCAATAGATATTAAAATAATTCAACGATATTAATAGAAAGGTGCACACACATGCATTTACATATGTATGTACATACAAACGAGCACCAATTAATTTTATTTAAAGAATGGCGTGTCGTCTATTTCCGGTGTAGCAAACGTAGTACATAGGGCGACATCTAGATGTCATCTACCTCGCCCTATTCACTATGCTTTTTTATAGGAGCTTTTCAAAGCTTTGCTTTATGGTGTCGGACACACAACATTGAAAGCTTCTGGAACACAACATTGAAAGTTTCTGGAACACAACATTGCAAGTTGATAAAAGCGTTGTAATAAATGATGAATGAGAGAATTTTGATCCTGACCTGCACAAGGAAAAAGCGTTACTGATATTTACACTTCCACTTTTATGGGGTGGTATACTTACTTGTAAGTATGCAACGGCTGCACTTCACCAAATAAATCGTTGCAGCTGTAATTCCCAGTGGACTGCACCAGCCAAATTTATCAGAAACTATCAGGCTTATCGAAAAGTGATGTACCTATGTATGATTTGTGGAGAATTTCATTGGCTTTCATTTGCCGTATTTCGTATTACGATTGTTTCGTAAGATTGGTTCGTAAGATATACGTGATTAAGTGGAACCACTCTTTTTTTTAAGCTGAATAACGGTAAATTGCAAATATCTCGAAAACGTATCCCCGAAAAAAAATTAACTCGATTTTCGGAATCACCGAGGAATTCTACACAGTAATTGGATAATGGCGTCTGGAGAACAAAAACAAAACCAAGGGCCAATTTCAAATGAATATTTAAACGGCACTTAAGTTTAATTTTGGATTATTATTTAAATGACCTTGAACTTTCGTTGGGTTTCAGATCAATTTTATTTAAATATGCCAAACACGTGGCAACACTGCTGCCTGCTCCTTGAAATTGTTGTTGCATTTGCTTGTTTGTTTACATTTTGTACTAAACAGCTGATTGTTCTTTGGCAAGATTGATAAAACAACGTACCTATCAATCTTGGCAGTGTGGTACAAACACGGGGTTGCATATCTCATACAGTGTTGATAATTGCATTTTCCAATTTCGTATGAAAATGTAATTCAAATGGTTCTTTTTATCACTAAATTGTACCAAATTTTCATTACTATAATTTTTCTAATATTTAGTTATTGTGTAGAACTTGTATTTGATTATTATTCCTCATAAAGTAAAAATAGTTGCTAAAAATTTAGAAAAATTATTACCTTTATTTTATTTACATAAAACGTTACACACTTTTACATCAGATATTATGAGTTTAAATGCATGTATGTATGTACATACATAGATATCGTGCCAGAAATTGTTCCGATACCACCAAGTCAATATTCTTATTAAGTCTCATCAAAAAATTCCTTGTCGTTTAAAGGATAAAGGGAATTCCGCATTATACTAAAGCCGTACGAACACATCGAGCCCTAGCCGCCAAAATAACGTAAGCGACATATTTTCCAAAATTTTGTTTTTGGTGCAGAAATATTACTAGAGCATCGAGATACATTTCTGCATCAAAAAGAAAATTTTGAAAAAAATTCCGCTTACGTTATTTTGGCGGTTAGGGCTCGAAATGCATCTAGATGCTCTAGGAATATTTCTGCATCAAAAAGAAAATTTTGAAAAAAATGTCGCTTACGTTATTTTGGCGGTTAGGACTCGATATAAACATAAAGATTTACAGCCCGATTCTGTGCACTTGATAAATAACATTTTTTTATATTTTGTAAATTTTTGTATTATTTATCTCTATCTCAGAAATCAAAAGCTCATTTCTTGATAAATTATCAAGATTGCAAATGCTGTTTACAAATTGAAATTTCATATGAAAATTATAAAATTTGTATATTAAAAAATTTGTTTCTACCATTTAAATCATCTTATATACTTACAAGTATGGAATCCTATGCCCCTTTTTGTCTATTCTCTTTCTAACAACGGACGTGCCTGCCAAACAGCGGACGTGCCTGCCAAACTGAAAAGCATGATGGCGGCAGTGTTTGACAGGCACGTTCGACGATGCGAACGGCAATGGAAGGTAAGAAATGGAAGATGGATGACATGAGAATGAAATAATTATGAAATAGCAGAATGTCGAAGCAAAAACGAATTTGAGAAATGTGACAATGCGAATGACGTTAAATGAAAGAAATGTAAAATAGCGAAATGTCGAAATAGAAGAAATAGATGACAGGCTCGTATTCAAGGGTTTCGTGAAACAAAAAGTGTTGCTGTGTTGCGCCATAAAATATTTAAATACTTTTTTAATGTGGTTAAATTGAATCATACGCTTTTTTAATTAGTTGGCAAAAGTGCATATTTCGCCAGCCAAAATATATATATGTACCTATGTATGTATATAGCGCGACGCTACAAGATTCATTTATAAAAACGGTATATGCTAATGACGTTATTCATAAAAAATAAAATAGATTTAAATAGCTCTGTACAGTGACATTTTTATAAAAAAATCGATTTCTTAATTTTTTATGAATTTGGGTAAAATATTTAAATTCACATTTTTAGTGCATTTTTTTCCTATTTATTACTTTTAAAAATTTTATTTTCTTTAATAACCGTTTCACTGAGTTATACCACCCATCAAAAATCAAACTATTTTATAAGAAATGTATTGACCTTTTTACAACGGTATTTAAAGAATTTTTTGCTCAGATTGAAAAATTGCCTGCTTCTCACACTTCTGTGGTGGTTTTTATTGTAGTTATTATTCTGTTGACATCTAAATTTCCCTACATAGATTTTATGTGATTGCCGATAGATTGATTACCGGCATTTCCTCTGTGAACTTTTTTTAACTACATTCATAAAAAAATTACTAATTTTGGTTTCTTTTT